ATTATCCCAGAGACATATAGTTATGGGCACAAACGTCCACTATATTATGAGGCACTATGTTTGCGCATCACTATGTAATCTTCTAAAAGAAATGATCAAAGATGAAGAGAAATAATGAACAGATCATAGAAACTCTAAAAATATTGAATAGTGAATGAAAAAGGATTGACAAATTTTCCAAACCTACACTGTTTTTTCCATAGGCACATCACAAAAATCTTGTTAAAAACACTGTTAAATCACCTAGACAGCAAAGTAGTCACTGAGAATATACGTAAGTACAACTTTATAATGCACGAAATAGTGCAATAGTTTGTCCTGCAACAAAGAGTCGGATCATCTGAACATGAATTGGGTAACTAAATTGACTAGATTTGAAAACTAAAAAGACAACATTGCTCATCATATGCAGTTACAAATACAATTAGCATTAATTTCCCAAGGTACCGTTTCATCCTTGGGTATAGTGGGTTTTCAGATGGACGTAATGATATACGCAACTAGAAGTGTTTATCTATAGTACGAGGCAGTATATTAGATTATTTCATAAAAAGAAAAGCTGAATGTTAGCTTTTATCAGGAAAATTATTGCAATATACTGTTTCATATAATAAGTAGTCCCTCTCAATTATGTATATCATTGAATCATCCCATAAATCCACTACCAACAAGAATAAAATGCACTTTTAACCGGTAGAGTTAAGTAGCTTTGAATCTGCGTACAACATGCACAATTTTCGTTTAATTTCCAGATAGTACCAATCTAGCTAGCTAATTCATCACTGAGCTTTCAGGAAAATTTGACAAGAATTATATTCATCTAACAACAAAGTCCCAGATTAAACCTTTAGATTTTGTTTTTTTCGAACATTTCTTGCTATGATTTGAAGTTCATTAAAATAATCCTATTTTAGGATGACCAAGCTATGCCTAGAATTATTTTCAATTAATTTTTTTGTAGAGATCCTCTGTGTATACTAAAGATAAGAGCTCAAAAGTGGTGAATATGTTCGAGCGGTTTCTTTGTTAGTTTTCATACGACTAGATATTTTTCTAGAAATTGTCTATCGAATCGTGGTTTTGTCACTAATAATGCCTGTCATGATGCATTCATCGTTCGAGCTGTACCAACATCCATACTGACAACAACTATTGTAATCTATCTTACAGCTGCTTAGCTGTAAATATGATCGAACGTATTGTGCGAACGTTTTCTTTCGTAACACAGACAAAAATTGATATGCTGTTTTATTCTTGAGTTTGTTTTTGAAATAAAAGTTCTTTTTACATCTGTCAATATGTAACACAGTACAATCTGCTTACTTTTGACGCCTATTAATTGAACCAAATCAGTATACTAATATTGAATTATCTGAGAAAATGACTTATGCATATTCGTGAAGTTTCAAAATTCTTAAAATCTATTTTTGTATGAGTCAAACTATAACTAACGAGGGTGTGGGGTGTGGGTGTGGATGGGTGTGGGTGGATGTGGGGTGGGTGTGGGTATGAGAATAATAAAACTGCTAGGTATACCTACAGCCATCCTACACCCACACCTACATCCACACACCCACACTCACCCCGTATTTCATCGATTCTAAGTTCAGTTAATCTTCATGTATATATTTATTGTAAGCATTATCGTCATCAGGTTGATTTTCTATCCAGTTACTTAACTTCTCATTCTCACCAGGTTGTTTCACTGAAAATTGATGATAGAATTATTGTTCGACGAAATATTGTTACATCTCTATTCAGTTGACATAATTTTCTCAATTTTCATGCATGCATATTTTACTCAGTTTCATCATCGTTCAAACTTCACGCTGTCATTGATCAACTTGCAGGATTAACCTAACTTGTGTCGTTTCGTCGAATTCAATCGTGTGTCGCTGAAAACGATGAGCTTCGTCGAATTTATGCATATTGCTTAAAGATTCTTTTCTATCTCATCAACTAGAATCATTCGGACTTAAAATGTATTCAAGGGCGCGATCAACTGGCGTGATATCCCAACATTCATTAGTTTATGTAACTTCAACCACTTATCAGAAAAATGTGATTTATTTATCAGTTGTACCCCATGTGTAATGCTATTGATCTGTTCCTAATTGATATGTATATATTACTAGAAATGAGAGTTGTTAAGGACGTCTTTATAATCATTGTGCAAAACGTACTTCACATCGTATTTGTTGACATCTTGTTCTCGGTATATACTTTATGCGCGATAATATTTTATCCATTCTATCCTAGCTTTGTGTTCTAGTTAGATCATTCTTGTTCTAACTGATTTTTTTTTCACTTTTCTTCGTTCTTCGTTTTCTTTAACACGCTTTCCCTCAATAATAAACGCTTATTACCCTTGAATTATATTTTCTCCACAAATTGAATGGAATTATTCTGAGTGTCGATTTGTCCCAGAGATGTCCATCGCGGCTGAAAATCTGCCGCTGCCGCGCCGCGACGGTTTATAAAAAAATGTTGCCGCGACGCTGCCGCACCGCGATGACTTATAAAAGAAACGCTGCCGCGCCGCTGCCGCGATGAATTATAAAATAAACGTGCCGCTGCCGCGACGGTTTTCAAAAAAGTGTTTCTAATTTCACTGCTGTGACTATATTTGACCAGAGATATGGGTACTAGTCCATCAGATTTATTCAATATCAGGGCGTTTCATTTGTAAATCGTGAAATTCTATTAAATTCATACAGTTTTTCAATGTCCTCCAAAAAAATCCTGCCGCTGCCGCGATGGTTTTTTAAAAAACCTGCCGCTACCGCGCCGCTGCCGCGATGACTTTTAAAAAAATCTGCCGCTGCCGCGGTGATTTTTTTTAAAAACCTGCCGCTGCCGCGCCGCCACCGCCACCGCGGCAGCGGCAGCGCCACGATGGACATCTCTGATTTGTCCCAACTGATCGTCGAAAATATTGTACCGATTGTCATTCAATGTTAACTTGAACATGTGCTGGCTCCGGAAAATCTGGCTTGTACACGAATTATTATCGTCATCGTGACAATGGTGGTTATTGTACACCAAAACTTGAAGAAGACAGGCAACACAAAATGGAAGAGAAGCAGGTTGCTATTCAACAACACTTTCAAGCTTTAGATGATAGTAAGTAGTATTAGGTTTTTCGGCTTATACATGCACCTCTTAGTCGATTATTTTCTGCTACACGAATAGTCAAAAACTAATCACTGCTACACTTTTTATATATATTGTAGAACAACGTCCTTGAACTTAAATAAACATCCTAGTCGTAGATAAACAAAATGATAAGTTGTATTTTCTGATTGACTACTTGATAATGAAACTTTGCTACTGATCTTTCATTTTATTTGAAATTTTTTAGTAGGAAATGGTTTATGTTAACAAATACGATGTGAAGTACGTTGAGAACAATAATTATAAAGACGTACTTAATAACTCTGATTTCTAGTAATATATACATATCAATTAGTAACAGATCAATAGCATTATACATGGGGTACAACTGGTAAAGAAGCCCTATTTTTCTGATAAGTGGTTGAAGTTACATAAACAAATGAGTGTTGGGGTATCAGGCCGATTGATCGCGCCCATATATTCTTGATTAACTCCTCAAGGTTTTAATATAAAGATAATAAGTTCAGTTTGAAATGAAGAAGACGGGCGTTATGCCTTGGTGCAAATGACACATATTTCTGTATAATCAAGAAGCTTATTAATGAAACGTCTCCGATTGTATCTCATGAGTTGCCTAATTCGGGTTCGAATATAAATGGAAAAAAACAGCATCCATGTTCAAATAGCAAAAAAAAAGGATAAATTTTTATTTCAAAATATAATTCCCTGTCGGAGCAACAAAAGAGAAGTAAAAGTTGAAATTTATATAAATTATACAATCATAAATCCAAAGGCACACACCTCTCAAAGCAGAAAACTTAGAAGCTTTTAACTAGGTTGCAATTATAATTGGAATCGGAACTACTCTCAGCACTGTGCACACAAAGACGTGAATGGATCGCCATTCTTCGGAGGAAGAGGGGAGGGTTGCTACGCACCACCACGCCGCTACGCTGAAATAAAACGTCAATTACATGGGCAAATGTGTTTTCTCGATGTGTAATCACCTATTTGTATTGTAGTATATCTGGTATTTGCTGCAGCATCTAAGGTGAGATTAGTAGTGATGGCCATTATAATCAGATTTAAATTACAATTCTCATCGTTTGCTTTTTTCTTGCTGCTTCATCAGGAGCGTGCCTGCTCATTTATAAATTTATAATTAATACAAAATTTATTTTTTACTTTTCTTTTATTGCTCCGACAGGGGATCCTATTTTGAAATAAAAATTTATCTTTTTCTTTCTTTTGCTATTTGAACATGAGTGTCGTTTTTTTTTTCGAATTTTGCATTTATATTCAAACTCGAATTTAGGTAGGTACTCATCTGAACTATTCAAAAACAACACAAATTCATATCAAAATGTGAAAAACAGATACACACATTCGTTAGAAAAACTGTGTGATGCACGTCATTAAACAAATTGCTTTATATTTAATTTTAGTAGCACTTATTATTCTCAAAACCAACTCATTACAACTGTTATTTGATGCAAGCATGTCAAATTTATATTCATCATGAATTAAAAATGTAACAATAGCAGGATAGTTTCGAAATGCATTGAACTTCAATCTATGCAAGGACATATTCGTTATATCTTCACGAGTTTCTCCACAGATGAGATATAGAAAGGATCTCGTCTGTCGTTGACAGCATCTGAGATGTCAGTTTCATACCTCCTCTGCAATTCTTTTTTTTTTCTTGAAACGTGACAGCGTCATTTGCTTGCTTCTCTTGAAACATTTTAGATCTGAACTGAATTCTCACTAGTTCTATCTCGGATTATAAGATGAACTGTAATAAATCAGTCAATATTTTTCTACTCGGTCTTGCATCGAGTATGAAAACAGACATAAGAACGAGCAGCAGTTATTAAGAACAAACTATGACATTTGCCTATGCATTTTCGGTGACAGTGATGGTTGCAGTGGGTTTTGCATCGAATATTTTTTCGATTGATACATTTCGACATGTACAATTAAGACAAACTACAGTTGGTATACATCTTCTTGTCTATAGTTGTTGTTCATTATTTGGATTGCTTATGCTTGAATGTCGTCTCTTTCAATTATTGGATTCACTTACGTATATACCTTTCTTTATCATCTGTAATGTTGTATCTGGTCTTGCATCTATATTTACTCGAATTTGTCTTTGGATAAACGAACTCATTGCATTGCAACGATCACTACATTCATTTGAGCATATTCCTTTATTGAACAACATTCGCTCTCGAGCAGCTGCATCAAAACAATTACTTGTCATAATAATTTGTATATTCTTGATGCATGTACATGAATTGATCTGTCGAGTAACATTGCCTGATCCAGTTGCTGAAGGAAAATTCGTTTGTCAAATCAAATATTCCACAGAATTATTAACATTAAATACAATTTTTATATTTCTTCATTTATTTGTACCATTTTCATTGAATATCTTAGCTAATTGTTTGATTATGGCATCGATTAGTCATCGACGAGCTACTCTTCATCAAACAACTTATTGGTCACAATGGCTGAAGCAATTCCGACGTCATGGTCATCTATTTCTCGCATCCACATTGGCTATGGTAACTGTTCGATTTTTAATTTTTTTTACTCGCAATAATTTGTCTTTCTCTTTTAAGATCTGCACTCTATCACAACTGGTACTTTCATTGAAATTCACATGTGTTGATGTTACACTCAAATGGCTTCTGCGATTGAATACTTCAGCAAATTTAATTCTTTATATACCTCAAGCTGCTACATTCTTCGTAGTCATCTGTTCTTCTGAAGCTTACTTCAAAGTGTTTAGAAACGAGTCCCTATGTGGCAGAGTACTATGCTTGAATCGCAATGCCAAGAATAAAGTGTTGCATATCACAGAAGCGCATTTGCCAAGGAATACAATACCACATCATGGAATGAAAATGAGCACAGCCAAAAATGCAGAAAACTAAAATCATATGTAGCTAGAATAACTGTTCTTGAGGGTGTGGGTGTGGGCGGGTGTGAATGTGTACTTTTCATCTACATTCACACCCACACCTACCCTAAGAAAAACTTACTCGATGGCATAAATATGGTTATCACTTTATAACATTCTGATAGCGAGCGTATATTGGATGAATAATCTCTTTCTCAAATATTGAAAAAAAAGGTCTTTTTTGCAAATTCATCTCGATAAATTCTTAAATATTTGCTTTGTGACGTTCAGTTTTCATGCTCTGTCGCATATAGACATGCAACAATGACAATAACCGATCCTTACCGATACAAGCCAGTATTAGGCTGATACCAATATATACTAGGAATGTACAAATCACGTTCATGACCATGAGAGGTTTTCCTGTCTGGCATAGCGAAGTTAAATTACCGTTATTTACATAGTTTGCCAACAGCTAGTCAGAGTTAAAAAGTACGAATCTCGTTTCAGCAAAAGAGTCAGACTCCAAATTTCGAGAAACTACCTTCATTCCGAATACCTTGAATTCCGTCACTTTTAGTCAAACTTTATAAGAAAAAGTGGTAACCTCTCTCCTCTATTTGAGTTATGAGAAGTGTTCGCGCTCATGAGCATGCGCTTTACATCTCTAGCTTATGCCAATATAAGCAACGGTTATGGGTTTCAATCGGTGATTCAGTGTCATTATTGCATGCTTAGTGCCGATAGACATTAGAATACAAATAGTTTTATTAATAGTGAAATTTGAGTTACCTATCACATGCAAATTAAATTTAACATACAAACATCCAATGTAAATAGTATTAGTTCAACATGAGAATTAATGAAGCAAATTAATTAATTCTAAATTAAATTGGAAACAAGGCTATAGTTATAGGTATAGAGTATCGTGGTATAGCCAGGATGGTGCAATGGTGCGGATACAGATACACTATTCTTGGCCCGAAGATACCTAGAGGAAGCACGAATGAAAAGCTTTTTCACGTAACAGAAAATTATTTTCCTGCTGGTGTGCACTATCCCCGCACCTAGAAAAATGATTAGTTACGTCTCTAGTAGAATGTCTTCTTCAAATATTTTATAAAACATATTACTATATTAAGGGTGTGGGTGTGGGTGAGTGTAGGTGTGGGTGTGGGTGTGCGTAGGTGTGGGTGTGGGTGTGCGTGTCGGAATAAAGAAACCCACACCCCAAACAGCAACTTTTTCATGCTTTGTAGTTTAACATGCTCGTTCAAATAAAAAAAAACAATGATCCATTAGAATGCAGTCTTTTTGAAAATTCGAATATACACAATCAAAGAATCTTAAGCAGAGAAGAAAAACAGAAATTTTACAAAAAATTTTAGCGTTTTGAGTTCTTCTTGCTATTTTATATAAGCTTGAATGTTAGAAATGAAGAATCTTTAATGTTAGTCTTCTAGAAAATCGATTAAACAGTAATTTTTTTTCTATTTCAAATGGTTTTTTTTGCAGAAAATATCCTCATTTTAATTCACATAACACTTATACAGTCAGTACGAAAATTATTCAACAAGCTTTATTTTCAGTTTTTTTTGCTGTTGTATTTATAGAAAGAATTCAAATAATGATTTGCATAGAAAAAAATAGTTTCCATCAAATATTAGTTCTTCGTCGTATATTGCATAGACTATATAAAACAATACAGTAAATCATTCTTTACAAAAGGAGACATTACCGAGCTCATTGCGACCTGTTTTTTTTACTGAACTATACTAATTTCGTTGAAAGTACAAAAGTAAACTATCTATAGTGCTTTGTTGCTAATGCTTACAATAGCTTGTGGAAAAATTTGGTAATCACTATATAGTCTGGAAGACAACATGGTCGATAACACATCATCCAGTAGTGTTTTGCGAAAAAATGATTGATCAGTTAAAGATATTCATTCTTTAGTAGATTTCTCAGAACGTTATGAAAAATCTTTTATGTCGCAACTTCTTCGATAGACATCAAAAGTATTTTTGTTGCTATCATTTTGAAGTTCACACTGATCAATGAACGATTTTTCTTCTTGTTTCATTTTCATCAGATGTTTTTCAATGTACATGCCTTTGAAACCATTTATGATGATATTTGAAAAAAAACAAAAAGAACTACTTTTACTCTTTACACAAATCTTGATTAAAATAAATACAATCAATTAATAATATCTTTATAGTTTTATTGTTTTTTCCATGAGTCTTGCAAGTTGACCATGATCATCTCTTTTTTGTATTATATCGGTCAAATCAGCTTCAATAATTTGTCTACGAAGAATATGTTGAATAAATCTGACTGAATACATAATAGAATCATAGTAACCTAATCTGTATATCACATATTTCCATAAAAGTGTTAAATAATAATTTTGTATTCGAAAAATTTCTTTTGGACATGGACTAAAATCAATTGAATTATATTGTATTTTTTTGAATACAGGTGAAATTCCACATGTTAAAACAAGAATAATAAGAAAGAGTTTTATAAAAAGTGGATCATATGGTGCAAATGTTTCATAAATATATATATGTTTTTCTAAACATTGAATAAAATTTTCTGTAAGAATTGATTCAAATAAAAATCGATCATATTCCCATGGAAAATATTTTAATACATTTGATTTCATTAATTCACTTGTATTTAATGATAATAATGTTCGAAAATTATCTTTTATATATTCATAATGACTTTCAATAAATTTATTATATTGAAGAATACGTTTAATAAATGAAATAATAACATTAAGATATTTTTGTCTAAGATCAATTAAACGTTGTATTTTAACACGTGAACGATATGGTTGTGTTGTTATTATAAGTGGTATTGTTTCATGAGAAGCAAGAAATGGTTCAATACAATAATCTTCATATGCATTTCGTATATTTGTTATTAAATTCCAATCATCAAATACTAAAGTTGATTGATTATTCGATGGTATAAAATCCATCTTCAAATGATTTACATTGTTGAAAAACAAAAAAAAAAGATAGAGTTTTTTTTTTCAATAAATCAAAATACACTTACAGTTGTTAATCTTGATAGTTGTTGTTGATGACAATGGCTATTTATCATCATTCCTGATTTAGCTCGACCAATAGCTGTTAAACTACGAATAAGTTCTTTTTTCATTCCTTGTCGAAAACATTTATTAAGACGACAAGCTGAACAATGTCGTCTTGTTGCTATTGTTATTTCACATTTACTTAAAACTCGACATGTATAACGAATCTAAGAAAAAAAAACAACAATATATTAAAAATCTAATTTTAAGAAACTAAATAACAGAGACGTACATGTTCATTATAAGCATTTCGACGAAAAAATGCTAAAAAACAAGAAAAACAAATAATTTGTTTTGAATATTATTTTGAATTAACAAAACAAAAATTCATATTTAAATTTCTAATTATTAGAAATGTCTAATACATACCTTAAATCATGCATGCGCAAGAAAAAACAAATCCTTCTCTATTTGCTCTACTTTTTTTTTCTGTTTACTAAACAACAACAAAACAATCATATTAATTACCTTTACACGATAAACATGTATATGCATCAAAATTACGTCCTAAAAAGTAATATTTCAACAACAAAAAAAATTTTTTTCTTTTTTAAAATAAATATCAAATTTATACCGATAGCAGTTGCACCACATACCACGCATAGTGCACGTGAATCCATCGTCATGCACCTGACGAGAGTGTTGAAAGTATGAGATGAGCTACTTTCCATGCAGCTGCTTAATAAAGTAACTTTTTGATATGACGCAGTCTTTTTGTCTTTCTATTTGTAACAGTAAATGCACGCGATTGCACTTCTAAGGTACGTCAGTGACATTACAATTTTTCTTCTTTTTTTTTTCTCCTGTTCTCTTCATTTTTTAGTAACATTATATTCCTCTCTTATGCGATGTTTTGAATGCTATGAAAATGTGCTCTCAGTTTTCTCTCTGTCTTATTCTTAACCTTGATGATAAACTTAATTATTTATTTCACTAAAGAAGAATATAAAGGATAACGATAGATTATTTTACAAACTCTATTCTATAGATTGATAGTATCCCAAAAAAAGAGAGAGAAACTTCAAGAATATATTTTCTGAATGTTAAATTAATATTCGATTGTTTGAACTTAACTAAGTATTGTTGTACTTTATATACATTTTCAAACAGAAACCATATTGAGAAAGTATCTATTCCTACTTTTTTTTTCTTTTCTTAGGCGTATTTTTTACTTTTCTTCCGCTAGGAGTGACGGAAATTATTTTTTTAAATTAATAGGCACTAAAGAAGATTTTCTCTTCGCCGGAGTATCAATATTGGTTTAATCATATTTATGTCAGCAATATTAAAAAAACCAAAAGTCTGGAGTAGAATGAAAATATTTTAAAATCACTATACACGTCACTCATTTTGGATAAATTTCTGAGCACCAGTTTTCAAAACAAAAAAAAAAAACAAGGATTGTAAAAGTCCTAACTCATATTATTTATCCTATTGACTCAATTAAAAACTTCAAATATCAATAATTGTGATAAAAATAGATTATACCGTATTATAAGAAGAAGCCAGCCAAACTGATTAATTCAGGGATGAACTATTCTTGATATCTGAAATTTTTTTGTAGTTGTCTTAGTAGTTTAGCTACAAAGTAACCATTGATTCATAGAATATATGAAATATCATGTCTTCATCGTTCAAGTTTATGCGCATGTGAAAATAGATTCGCTTAAGCATGATGAACTATAGAAAATGCACTCAACGAAGTGCATTTTTTTTTTCTTATTTTATTTATAAAACGTGAACAAATGAGTGGAATCTTCTCGTCTTAGTTGAAGAAAATAATAAAATAGAATTTGTACGATCGTTAAAAAAAATTTTTACGTTTATAAACCTATAAAATTTAATGAATCAAGTTTTTTTTTTTGTTTTTGTAATACTTCATTTGATGCGATCTCTAATTTAAATATGTAAGGTCGAAAATAAATCAACCCTATAATTGATTTAACAAAGGAATAGACTTGAACATATGATTTCATTGGCATAATATTTGAAGAATTCTTTGAAAACGAAATATAAATTAAATCTTTTATGAATTATAAAGAATTTAACAGTTTTTTTTCAGATGAAACTATTAAAATTTTTGTTTTTTATTATAAAGATATGTTGTTGATCAGAGTTGTCCTCGATTGTGTTTGCACAATACCATGCAATGCTGATGTCTGTTTTCATCATTGAATTCTTAAAAGCTTCTAAATAATTTCAAACAGTTTGATTTGTTTGAACCGTAATCAATACAAGTTATTATATAGTTTATTACAACATATTCAAATGCGTCTAGGCTCCGAAACTTGATACTCTGATTCAAAAAGTGATGAGATAAAACTTTCAATATGTTAATGACATTATATTTCTTTGTTTCTTTCTTTTTTTAGTCGCGTAAAATATAGTTCATTTCATGAATTCATTATGTGAAGAACTATTGTAAAAAAAAAAAAGAAAAAGAAAATGTATCTGACAATGACATCGTTGACATAAAAATGAAAGACGGATATCATTATGTCTTTATTCAACTGCGTAAAATAAAAAAATATATATATATAAATAAAATTACTAAGATATAAGTAGGTCAAAAAGATAGTGAAGAAGTAGAAACAAGGTAAAGAAATAGAAGAGCAGAAGAGCAGGAAATTAATAACATATGTTTGATAATATATAGTATTTTTAGTATTTTTCAAACGAAATTCTCTTTAATCTTGATATAATTTGCACCATACTAGGACAGAAAGTTAAATTAAGTATTACTCAAATAAACAAAAGACTTCAGAAATAAATTCAAAAGACTAAAAATAATCATAATCATTGGTTTAATCAAATAGAAAATAGCCGAGTAAACTTGACAAACAAATCTTGGAATCTTAAAACAAAAGATTTATCATTGCCATATATCTTAATTTCAACTATCTGTCCTTGGAATATTGATAGAAATCATTCAAAATATCAGTTATGAATGTATTGAAAATACTACTGACTAACTTCATTGATGTTATGAATTCGGTAATCGTATGTATTATATGATTCGGTATATATAATACTCTACTAATTTTCTAAGAATTTCTTAGAATGAATAGTTAGCTGCAAATAAGAACTTTTCTAATCGATTCATATTGGCTCTAGGATAAAAACGTGCCGATTCATCTTTAGATTGATTATTTATTTAAAGCAATATAAGAATTAACATGAAAATAAACACGCTATCATGTTATGTTATAAATGTTTGCATTCAGAAAAGCTCTATATTAAATAACAAAATAGCTATTCTATTAGAGTTATGATTTTCTATAGAATTTTGATTGGTTTAAATCTCCTTCTCTCAAAATTGACCTTGGGACAGGTACATTCAAACTAGTATTCTGTATGGATATAATTTTTCGTAACTAGACTCTAGTGATTTGACTAGTTACTAACTGTGATATATTCAACCTGAGTTTGTCTCCTAGTCAAGACTCATTTTGTTTTTACTGTATTTCTTTTTTTTTTGAGTGATGAATAACAGCCGTTTTACTTGATTTTATTCAAATAATTGGC